CTTCTTCACCTTGCCCATTGCATTGCGGGGAAGTGATTCCCATACGTGTAGCCTCTGAGGGATCTGAAAGGAAGAATAATTTAAAGAAAACAGGCAAACTCTCTTGGGATATTACCTTGTATGGGGCCATTCTTTTCAATGCCCAGTCTCGGAGTTGAGGCAGCGTCATCTTCACATCGCTTTGGTTCTCGGTGTCTAGAATCACGACCGCGGCTATCACCTCGCCGTAATCCTTGTCTGGAATCCCCAGCACAGCACACTCCGATATATCTGGGTGCTGTTACGTAACACATATATAATAAAACGGTAACAACACACAACACAAATACCTCTAGTAGCATAGATTCGATTTCCAATGCTGAGAGCTTGTATCCTCCTGACTTGAGTATATCCACGCTTGTTCCTTCATTCACAATGTAAAAAACGAGAAGAAATAAGTTAATAACAGCTAAGCTTACTCCCAAGGATTCGAATGTAGCCATCACTCTCTTGCTTGACAAAATCTCCTGTTTTGAAAAATCCATCCTCATCAAATGCTTCCTGTGTAACCTGGGCGAAAAGGCCATTGTTGTTTGCTACATACATATAGGAGCATACCGTAGGTTGATTCCAATATCCACTGAACATGGATGGACTCTTAACACACAGCTCCCCAGTGCCAGGCTCGGACTCAGCACTTTCTGGCTCAATCGTCACCTGATAAAATCCGTAAGAAGCTGAAAGGAACTGAGTATGTACTAACCACTACACCTGGCAAGGGCACTCCAACACTACCAGGCCTGCGTTCTCCATCAAGAGGATTTGACAGTCCCATTCCAAACTGCATCACTCAAATTTGATTATCAAAGGACAAATTCCATAGCCATTGCGTACCTCAGTCATTCCGTAACGTTCCAAAAGCCGATGGCCTGTTACTTTCTCCCAATGTATAAAGACTGGCAGCGGAAGAGCAGAAGATCCACACATCTAGCCATATCATCATGAAAGAACGATCGATACAGAAATAAAAATAGCTATTGTGTTACCATAAGACGCAAACGACGTGCTGCGGAAGCAGCGGCCTCTCGTGACGCGGCGTTCATTGATTCGTAACCTTGCAACAATCTTACGTACATGGTTGGAACCTGAAAAGAAAGACAAATCAGAATACAGAACGTTTTATGACACGTTTCTTACTCCCGTGAAACAAGTGATAGGATTTTCAGCTTGTGAGTTTTTAGTCGGATAAGATTCACGCCAGCACTGCCATACTCCACTCACACTGAACTTTGGAATGAAATGGACCTGGGCGCAAAAAGAAATTACTACCTTACAAGTAAAAGCCAACGTTACCGAAGAGCCAGCATAAAGAGGTGCGAGCAGTGCGTTGAAAAGGCCATGAACATGTAGCTACACTGTCAAGGTAAACATTACAGAAAAGAACAAATGGAAGGAATGTAAGGATATGGTGCAAAGGTAAACAGTGAAGGAACCGATCAGACGGCTTATATTGCCATGCACTAGAGAGCATAGCAACCTGTTTGCATAAAAATGCGTTAAAGCTTTGTCACATGAACGTGGAGATAAGTTATACCTGCGCAGCCAATGCACCTTGCGTATGAACAGCTCCCTTCGGCCTACCAGTAGTGCCACTAGTGTAAATTATCAATCCTAGCTCCTCATCTGCAAGAAAATTGAGACTGTGCCAAGAGCAAAACCAAGAATGTAATACCTTTGACATGCGACAAGGACAAAACTTCGTCCAAGATTTGATCGTATCCTTCACTTCCGTCGGCACCTTCTTCGAGTGAAGGGATTGAAGGCAGGATAAAAAGACGAGCAGCAGCTTTCTGAGAAACACCTTCAACCAGGCTTTTGTGATCATCTGTAGAGATGACTAGTGTTATATTCTGGAATAGAAAAGCGTAAAGACACAGATTTTCAAACACTTGCAGAGCTTACCGCATCAGTGAAAACATGGAGGAGTTCGCTCTCTGGGTGACTCAATGCCAAAGGCACAGCGACCCCACCGCTCAACCACGTTCCCCAAATCCCCACTACAAATTCGGCAGAGGGAGCTGCCACGATTCCAACGCGAGCACCTTGTAAAGCCTTATTCTATACAGAAAACCATTTACAACTCCACCATCAGAATCAAAAGACATCATACCTTGTGCTCTAGGCCATCACGGTCGTCTCGCAGCTTTGTCGAGAGCTCCCATGCAGACCGCAGGAGCTGGGCATAGCTGTGAGTCCTGTTTCCGGAGGTTACAGCTGCAATTTTGTGTGCTCCAGATCCAAGCTTCACGGCTGCTCTTATTACTTCCATCGCCTGTCTGATATGATTCCAAGTCAGTGAAAAGAAACAAGAAACAAAGGACACGCATACCCTCGAATCGAGAGTGAAGAAGATGCAAATGGGTAGCGCCTATCAATTGAATTCCTGTGAACACCTGGAATGCATGGCGGCTGTCGACTAATGCGAATCGAACACGAAGTCAAAGACAATCCAAAGCAAATACATTTCAAAAGGAAAGCCAACACCAAGCTGGATGGAAATATCTGGACCGAAAACAAGCACAACCCAACCTCCACCTAGATTCTATTCTCTTGTCTCTCTCAGTTCACTGCAAAACATTGAGAAACTTAGAGCGAAAAAACTACAAACGAAACGAAAAGAAAGCTTACCACTAAGAAGTATCAAGCGACATCAATGGAGGAACTCATCTCCCTCAGAGAGTTGCCTTGCTTGTTCTCCGGAAGCCTCACCACCACAACCGCGCAATCGCAGTGATGGACACAGTAGTCACTGACGCTCCCGAGCCTGGCCCTGCGGGTCCGCCTCTCAGCACCAATCCCTCGGCTTCCCATGATCATCACGTCCACGCCGAGTCTCTCCACTTCCAGGCAGATCCTCTCCTTCATGTCGTGGTCCTTGACGATGTGAATCCTGAAAGGAATGTTGGCCTCCTCGAGTGGCTTGGCGAGCTCGGTGCTCTTGGCCGAAGTGAAGGCCTCCATGTCCTCCTCCATCTTTTGCTGGACTGACGCATCGGGTCCAGCGGTAGTGTCTGCCGGTCCCCAGTCGGCTCCATAGAGAACGCTCGTTGGCTGGACGTGAAGAACGATGACACTGTCACCTTGTCGAAGGTAGTGAGCGACGGCCCATTTCACTGCGTACGCACTCTCGGCGCTCAAGTCCACGGCTATGGCGATTTTTCGCTCTCCTGGTGTTGTTAGCATCCTATCACAGGAAGAAATCAATCAGCTATTCTTTTCTCACACACAAAACATTTTTTTCTTCAAGCGCCAAGCAAGAAACTCCATGGATCAATCGAAGGGGCTAAGAACAAAGTTTTAGTGCATCTTTGATGCAAAAGCTCACACCATGCAAGGCTCCCGAGCTCCAAAGAAAGAAAAACCAAGAAATCCTTGGAGCCAAGGGTGAAATACGGGCATTTCAGCTCAGGGAAGAGATCGAGGGACGAAATATCGTCCGGGAGCTGGAAACTGCCCTGACTTTTGCCCCGGATGGAACAATCGATCAAAAATGCAAGCGCCAAGAAATACCGGGCGAGAGAGAAGTAGCATACCTGATCGAGGATCGCACTGCGCTGCTCGAAAACCTAGCTTGAGCGCAAGAGCTCAATAACGGTCAGTCGAAGAACCCTAAAAAGACACTGAAATAAAACAATGCGCTTCCATTTTATTTACTTAGCCGAGACAAAAAGAATTTATCGGAGGATACAAATTTACTCTTTACTAATTCTCGTAGTAGATTGTAGATGGTGGTGGTGGAGATTGGTACCAGTAGATTGGTGGCGATGGCGGGGGTGGGGATTTGTGGTGGTGGTGGTGGGGTGGTGGCGGCGGTGGGGATTTCGGTGGTGGTGGTGATTTGTATTCGTATGGTGGTGGTGGTGGAGACTCGTATTTATACGGTGGTGATGGAGGTGGAGACCGTGGTGGTGGTGGAGATTTGTACTCGTACGGAGGTGGCGATTTCTCGCATTTTGGTGGTGGAGGCGGTGGAGATTTGTACTCGTACGGAGGAGGTGGTGGCGGTGGGATTTTTTCACATTTTGGCGGTGGAGGTGGCGGAGACTTCTCGCATTTTGGTGGTGGTGGTGGTGGAGACTTGGGTGGCGGAGGAGGTGGAAACTTCTCGCATTTCGGTGGTGGTGGTGGCGGAGACTTTGGTGGCGGAGGAGGTGGAGACTTCTCGCATTTCGGTGGTGGTGGTGGCGGAGACTTTGGTGGCGGAGGAGGTGGAGACTTCTCGCATCTCGGCGGTGGTGGTGGTGGAGACGTGGGCGGTGGCGGAGGTGGAGATTTCTCGCATTTCGGTGGTGGTGGAGATTTGGGTGGCGGAGGAGGTGGGGTATCGCATTTCGGTGGTGGGGGTGGTGGAGATTTGGGTGGTGGCGGAGGTGGAGATTTCTCACACTTTGGTGGAGGTGGTGGCGATTCAACAGGGGGTGGTGGAGATTTGTGATGGTGAGGAGGTGGTGGGGATTCAACTGGCGGTGGTGGAGATTTATGATAGGAAGGAGGTGGTGGCGATTCAACTGGCGGAGGTGATTCTACCGGTGGTGGCGGGGATTTGTAGCAGTAAGGAGGTGCATTAGGAGGGCACAAACGATTTGGAAACCACCAGGGCCTTCTCAGCCACGGCCTCCAACAGAAGAAATCGATCGTGCTCTTAGGAATTCCAAACCCGAAGTTCTTGGCATCTCCAAAACCTGCATTTCGATCCAAAAGCTCCTGATCACACCTGACAGTGGAAACCAGGAGAAGCAGCAAAAGCATGCTGCATGCCTTGAAGAAAATCATCGCGCTCTCCAAGATCACTGGAAAGAGAGACCTTTTCTGTGATGCTACAAAAATTTCCAGCTTATAAAGCCTAGCACTGTGTCTTGGAACCCACAGCTTTCAAAATAGTAATCCTTTAGAAATCGATGGCTCTGTGCTATTTCGCGCCTGGTTATCACATTTTCGTGTAAATTTTCTCATCTCACAAATTATTTCTAATTAATTTTATTTATTTACTAGGAAAGTTATTTATTCACTAATAACAAATAACTTTAATCTTTTTTACTTTTATGCTTTGCTGCCTTGCAAAAGAAAAGATCTTCGCCTAGAAGAGTTCCATCGTTGAAAAGCAAGCATAAATACCCATGTAGCGCGCGAGACCTTCTCTTTGATCATCATGAGAAAGGCGGCACTTAGAATTGTCTTAAGAACCTGTGCTTGGATTCCCTTGTAAAATCCGAGAATTCCTTCTTGTTTCTGGATGAGAGTAAACGCGTCCACCATTCTCTTTGGCCTCGAGTACTCTTCGTCGTCTTTCTTGTCACCCGACTGGATCATAACTTTGCACCTAAAGCCGGAAGAAATCCTGAATTGAGAACTCTTCCTTACGGAGCAACCTGAGGACTTTACCTGATTGCTGGATACGTGATGAGAGTTGCCACCGTCTTAGAGATCGCTCCCAGAAGAAACGCGTGGAATGCTGATAGAACCAGCGGCGATGATCCAGCTTTTCTCACTCTTTGCTGTAGCAATCGCGTTTTGAGTTGCTCAAAGACTGTGTACTGGCAAAACCAAAGCATTATCAAGTCGAAGCTAGGAAAACCAAAGAAGAAGAAAAACGCGAACCTGGATTGCTGGATTACATGTAAGGAAAAGAGAAGCTCCCAATCCATCGAACGATTCGTTCCAGTTCGCGGACAAAGTAGCCCAGAGTCCCTTGGACTTTCCGAAGCCGCTGGTTTGCATTCGTGAAGAAGCAGTGTCAAGAGGCTAAAACGAGAAACGAAAGATAGTTATCTTCGATCGTCAATCTCGAGCTAGAAAAACTTACTTGCGTGACGATCGAATTGCAAGCGCCGGCAGCAGCAGCGACAACAAGATTTGCCCCCAATCCCATGCTCTTGTTCTTGCTCCGCTGGAGATAGAGCCGCTTCAAGTAGCTATAGCTGTAGAAATAGATGAACTGCGAGAGGAGCGATTGCAAGTTCTTGGCGCCCAGGCCCTGATACAGCGCCAGCACCCGTTTGGATGCAATGGCTTCGCGAAGAACATCCAGGAGCGACCTACAATCGCCCCCAAACCGTCAAATGGATGAAATAGTTTGTGCGATCGCTGCTTACCGATATTTGTATGAATTCCCCGCCTTGAGCTCCGCTTGATACTTGGATTTGCACGTATCAAGGGGATAGAGGATCGTCGTGGTGAAGAGGCCGCCGATCGCGCCCGCGGTGGCATCGGCCAGGGCCTCCATTTTGCTCTAGAACCCTAAAACTTTCAAATAATAGAAGTTCCTTTAGCCCTAGACATAATAATACGAAATGTACGAAACGGCTATGGAGGCTAGGGTTTTGAGAGGCGGCGCATGGCACAGGTGGAGGAGAAGACGAAGGCGAGCGCGGCGTGGGAGGAGCTAAGGTCGAGAGATCCTTCTCTAAAGGCGAGGGCCGAGGCTGTCCTCCAGCGCGCGTATGGGCGGAAGGATTCGCCAGCAGTGAAGCCCAGGAAATCGTCTTCGTCTCCACCAGTAGGGCTTGTTCTTGCAAGATTTCGTATAATCCTCGCAGTGTGATCTAGGGATGGATGATCAGCCTTGGAATGGTGCCCAAAAAGAAGGATGCGGCCGAAATTTCTTCCACCGATCCGCCTAAAATCGACAATGTTTCAGATGCCGATCGAGAGGATACTCGCAGGATAGCGGCCGCTGCTCTCGCGGCTACCAGATCTGGAGCGCCAGGGCAAAAGGTATTTCTCGATTCTCCTTTCTTTCGTTAGTAGAGCCAACAGGTATCTAGATTCAATACATTCTCGTATTGTCTCTTCGTGGTTTGGCTGAGATTTATCCCGGGTTTTGCGACATGGAGTGGAGCATTACATCCACTTCCATTACTGATTTGCCTGGAAAATGTCTCTTTTTTCCTTGTTTTGCTAGTAGCCAACGGTATCTTGATTCAATACAGCTTCTATGCATTGTTTCATCGAAGTTTGGCTGATAGTTTTCTCAGGTTTTGCGACATGGAGTGGAGCATTACCTCCTCTTCCATTACTGATTTTGCCTGGAAAATTGTCCTTTGTTCAGAGACTCCATTTTGGAAGATCTTTCTTGGCGCTAGTTGTGTGTTCGTGGCTTTTCAAGTACTTGGTTCGTCGATTTTGATCACCTCTCTCGCAGGTTGTTGCTGCTGCTGCTGCTGCTACTGCTGCGCCTCCCGAGAGCGATGCAAAGTCTAGCGACGCTGGAGAGAAGCGTAAACTATCATCCGGACTGGACAGTCTGCTAGAACAAATCCAGAAGAAGCCGAAAGCGAACATCCTGGACAGATCGAAGAAGGATTGGGGCGAGTTTAAAGACGAGAAGGGTCTCACGGAAGAACTCGAGGCATACAAGAAGAGCGGTGACAAGTACTTGGACAAAGTAGCGTTTTTGCAGCGAGCGGACGATAGGGAGTACGAGAAAGAGCGTGACGCGCGTTTAGAGTACCAAGCAAAGCGTAGACTAGGAGCAAGCTATCAAGACGATTAAAATCTCTTTAATCATGTTTATAAGTTCTCGAATTAAACAAAGTTTTACCAAAATGGTTAAAAGCAAAATTTCTCTAATAGGTGTTTTGCTAATAAAAACGAGAGATTGTGAGGAAAAGATGAGGAATTCTCTATCAAAAGCTTTTTGTGTTGGGAGAGTAGGACGAGAAAAAAGAAAGAGACACACAAAATGTTGCTGTGTATCTCTTTTATTCTTGGTTTAGCTTTAGCATCGAATTCTTCTTCGTCTTCTTTCACTTCGAGATCGCCGGTGCCAATTTCACCATCGGATGGATCTTCATCAGCTCCGACAGCCAGTTCGAGCAACGTGTCGCACTCCGCCACTGCTCCATCCATCGAGCAATTCGATGCCAGTGACAGCGATTTATATGATGACGACGATGATGGTCCCAAGGATCGGCTCCATAGATTCGCCAAGCACACATTCAAGCTCGCCATTGTGTGTGTATGTGGTGTGGCGTTCTTGGTTCTTGTGCTCGCTTTCTTCTGGGCGATCGTGAGCATTGGCTGGAAGAGCATGTAAGTTTCAATCTATTCCACTGTTGTTTCAAGTCATGCAATCGATTTCTCTTCCAGGAAATCTGGATGCGCGAAACCATCGCAAGACGCGGAATTTGGATCAAGAAGGAGCGAAGATCTGATGGGTCGAGGTAGAAGTCATAGTCATCCATTCGACTGTAAATTCTAGATTTTTTCCTCCGATCATCGGCTAAATGATCTATTCTTTACTGTACAGTGAAAGAATAAAGAGGAATGTTCTTCCCTCGCTCGCATGGAACTTGTGATCCACTATTGTGGGAAAGGATGGTTGATTTGATCGTTTCCATTTTGCTAGGGATTGGTTTGCGCGATTGAAATCGAGAATGGATCGTCTTGCTTGGATCGCGCTGGTGTTCTTGGTAGGATTTGTGATCCTGGCGACAATTCCTTGCTTTGCGCAAGAATGTGATGCTCCATGCTGTGGATACCTCCCGCAGGGCGGGAATGGATTTTGCTACGATGGCTACTGCTGTAGCGAGAGTGGATTTTGTGGAATCGGAGAGTACTACTGTGGGAATGGCTGCCAGCGAGAGTTTGGCGATTGCTACGACTTCTAGCAAGATTTAAACGAGCGAAAAGATTCTCGAATAATCATGTACGAAAATAAATCTGGAATGTACGGCGCCTGGAACTCGCGGGAATTCATCCGCCACTGGTCTCGTGCGTGACGACAATGAATAAATCTCGAGCGAAGTATAAAAGTGTTCTTGTCTTTCAATCGTGACGTGTTCGTTTAATGTGAAATAATGCCGCTAGCCAAGCTAGCTAGGGTTTGGTGATGACGCTTGGAGAGGGAGAGGGATGAGTGATTGCGCGGCTCCGGTAAGCGTTTCCTCGGCTTGTTTCCGCGCCGGAGCCAAGAATCTCTCCAGCTCCTCCAGTTTCTATCGATTCTCAGATCCTCGCGGCAGAGGATTCGGAGGAACAGGGAAGATTTTGGGGACTGGGAGTAGAAATCAATGCAGTTCTTCCGAGATTCAAGCCAGGGATGGAAATATTTCGAGAGCTGGAGCTCGACATCGGCATAGCAGCGATCGATCGCCAGACTTCCAGGCCAGGGATGGAAATATTTCGAGAGCTGGAGCTAGGAATGACGAGAATCGATCGAGTGGCGATGATGGAGGCGATGGAAGCCGCGGCATTGTCCCGTTCCAAGGCGCCGGTCTCGAGCAATGGAAGCTTAGCGATGCCAGGAGCAGTGAGTGGGTGTGGCGGCGGCAGCAAAGGAAGCGATTGCTGCGTCGTGTGAGAAGGCCGCCGAGTGATCCTGGAATTCGCGATCTGATACAGCGGCGGCGAGAATGGGAGAAGCGATTGCGAAGAGCTCAGCCACAGGCAGTGGCTCCAAAGTGGACGCGCTTGACTCCAGAGCAAATGGCCGAGTACCACGCTCACGGTGGCTACGCTGCCTATCCCATGCGGTATAAGAGTCACGTCGAGTCCGCCATCGCCACGGTCCGCGGGCTTGCAACCCAAGAATCTTACGACATTCGTCGCGTGATGGCTCCTTGGGTCGGGAGATTGACGTTCCGGGAGCTTTGCACGGTGCTCAAGTGGCAACAAGGATGGAAAGAAGCCCAGGAGTTCTTCGCGTGGATGAAACTCCAGGTAAGACTTTGTGATGAAGTTGGCAGAGAGAAAAGATTAGAGTGTCTTGAGAGTTACTGACTGCGAACTTTGGTTTTGCAGCTGTCCTACATTCCAAGCGTGATTGTTTACTCGATGCTGCTCAAGGTGTATGGCAGGGACAAACAGATTGGTTTGGCCGAGGCCGCGTTTCAGGAGATGCTGGACCAGAAGCTGGATCCCGACGAGGTGGCGTTCTCGACAATGATCCTCAACTATGCAAACGCGGAGATGTTCGACGAGATGCTCACCATGTACGAAGCGATGATGAGCCGGGGGATTGTTCCGTCGTCGGTGACGTACACGACAATGCTGATCCATCTCAACAAGGCCGAGAGGCTGGCGGATGCTGCTTTGTTGTGGGAGGATCTGGTGGAGGAGTCTGTGGAGCTGAGTCCTCTGGCTTATGCGTTGATGATCACCATCTATAGGAAGCTGGGGCGGTTTGAGGAAGCCTTGGAAGTCTTTGAGGCTATGCTAGGTGCTGGCTATTACCCGGACTCTCTCATCTACAACATGGTTCTTCATATGCTGGGAAAGTTAGGACGCTATGACGAGGCGGTCGACGTTTTTACCGCGATGCAGCGGCAGGAGCTGTGTACCAGTAAGTACTCGTATGCTACTATGCTGCACATCTGTGAGAAAGCTGACAAGTTTGAGCTCGCTGCGTCGATCTTCTCTGACATGCAGATGAAGAGATGCCCGGTTGACGAAGTTGTCTACACGAGTGTGATCAGCATCTACGGGAAGGCCGGGCTTTATGACGAAGCGGAGAAGCTGTTCCAGGAGATGAATGAGCTACGGCTTTTGGTTGACGTGAAGACGTTCTCGGTGATGGCCAACGTTCGTTTGAAGGCTGGCAAGTATAACGAAGCAGTGCAAGTCATGGAAGAGCTGCTTGCTAAAGGGCTCAACCTGGACGACACGGCATGGAAGACGCTGTTGCATTGTTATGTCAAGGCTGGGAACGTAGAGCGTGCTACGAAGACTTTCAAGACTCTGGTGGAGTCTGGAATTGCGGATCTGATGGCATACAACGATATGCTCAGCCTCTACGCCGAGTTTGATATGTTGGAGGATGCCAAGCTCCTATTCCAGCAGCTCAAGAGCTCGTCCATACAGCCAGATCAGGTGTGGTTTGGGACCATGGTGAAGCTTTACTGCAACGCTAATATGGTGGCGGCCGCGGAAGAAGTTCTGAGGCAAATGCGAGAGAAGGGGTTCACGCCGGATCACATTACTCAGGGGATACTGATCAACGCTTATGGTGAGGCAAACAGGATCGAAGAGGCTGCGGGCTTGTTGGAAGCGTCGGCAAAAGAAGATGAAAGCGAAGCTGCCGCGATTTCGAGGATTTACTTGTGCCTCAAATTTCGCCTCTTTGACAAGGCGACCTTGCTGCTCCATCGCGTTCTGGAATCCTTTACCCTGGACTCTGCCGCGTACAACCAGCTGACCATCAATTTTCTCAAGGCTGGTATGTTTGCTGCCTGTGTTTTACTTGCGAGTAAGCGTTTGATTGTGCAGGCCAAGTTCCACCAGCGGAAATGTTACATTCAAGGATGCAGGATAAAGGGTTTGACGTGGAGGACTCGACACTAGGCCATTTAATCGCGGCCTATGGAAAGGCAGGTCGCTACGAAGTTCTGACGAAGCTGAAACCCGAGTTGCCGAGGAACAATTTTGTCTATTCGTCAATGGTTGGAGCGTTGATCAACTGCAACCAGCTGGAAAAAGCTGCTGGATTGGTGGAGAAGATGAGGCAGATCGGTCTCAAGTGCGACAGCGTTTTGGTCAGTATACTTCTCAATGCATACAGCAAAGCTGGTGAGCAGAAAACCTTTTCTGTTTCAGTCTATCTAAAAGCCATTTCTTGCAGGACTTGTGGAGGACGCCGATGCTCTAATTCATATGGCCAGGGGCGATGGTATCCCGCTGGATATTGTTGCCTACAACACGATCATAAAAGCAGATTTGAGAGCTGGTCAGTAGTACTTTTTTTCTACCGAAAGAAACTTGTTTGATTTCTACCGAAAGAAACTTGTTTGATTTTTCCTTTCAGGTCGCCTAAAGAAAGCAATAGACACATACTCATCACTTACAAACTTGGGGCTGCGGCCGTCCCTTCAAACATATGATACTATGATAAGGTACTTGGCCTCCTGTTCGTCACAAGCTTTAAGCATGTAATTGGTTCGTGCAGTGTCTTTGCGAAGTCTGGAAGGACACGGGATGCAGAGAAAATGTTCAAAGATCTAAAGTCCGCTGGCTTTCAACCGGACGAGAAGGTGTACAGTCAAATGATGAACTGCTATGCTAAATCCGGTTGGTATTCAAGCGTTACTGTATCCTAAAGTCATGTGTGGATGGATGGATGGATCAGGCATGTACGAACATGCTGCGGATTTATTTGAGGCCATGAAGCTGAGAGGCCTGAGGCCACACGAGGTGAGAAAGCTCGTTTTATGTTATGGTCTGTGGCGTAACAGCGCTGGTTTCTTTTTTTCACAGGTCAGTTACAACAATTTGATCGATGCTTACGCTCGAGCTGGCCAATTCGCGAAAGCAGAGCAGCTGCTGGTTGAAATGGCCAAAGCCGGATGTCCTCCGAGCTCGGTCACGTTTCTTCTTCTCATCTCTGCCTACGCACACCGGGGGAAATGCAACGAGGCTGAGAATGCTTTAGAGAGAATGCAAACGGCCGCGATACGCCCAACCGTGAGGCATTACAACGAAGTTATGCTTGCTTTCTCCAGGGCCAGGCTCCCTAGTCAAGCCATGGAGAGTTACTTGAAGATGGAGAGGTCAGGAATCCAACCCGACGTAGTCTCGAGCAGGACAATGATCCGGATACTTCTCGAGGGCTCGATGTTTGAAGAGGGACTTTCCCTGTACAAGAAAACCGAGGCAAAACTCGTCAGCGACAGCCTGAGCCGGGAAATGGTGGCGAAGCTGTATCAAGGCGCTGGCAAACACTTCGAGGCCAAATACATATTGCGACAAACATCTGGTGCGTGTTTCTGGCTCTCTTTAAAACTTTGATAAACGTTCCTTTCAAAACAGGTGATAGAGAGGTGGTTTCCTAGCGCTAAAAACATGAACACGCGAGAGATGAGAAGAATACAAAAAACGAGCTTGGAGTTCTCAGCTACAAGAAAGATGAGCTCCAAGCAAGACGCAGCAAAACGAAAACTAAAAAACAAGAACCAAAGCAACACAGGACAAAGCAAAAAGACAACTAGAAGAGCTGTTGTCTGTCACATGAGGCATTCCACCCGAAAGCCTTTGTCTTCGGCGAACCAGCACTTGCAAACGCGGTACTCGACAAGTCCTCCAACCTCCATAAAGTTCTCCAGCGCGGCCTCAAAGTACGACTGAAGAACCTTCCAGGCCAGGCAGGCGCACTGCGATCCATACGCCGCCGTGAACTCGTCCATAAGAAAGTGGCAGACGTCCGAGGGGCTCTCCCGGAACCTCGCAAGATACGACATGAACACCAGCGTCTTGGGGTGGCCGGGAGCGGTGGAATGCAGCAGCCGGAAGAGCCTGTCCGGGGTGATGAGCTTGAGAGCCTCATGGCCGCCGGAAGCATCAGCCGACTTCTTCCCGCTCACGGACAGGGGCCCGTAGAAGTCGAAGAGTGTGACCCGGATCAAGTCTTTGTCATCCTTGGACATCCCGGCGACTCGTCCCAGCCGCTCCTCGACGCTGGCCAGCAGCTGCGTACACTTCTCTATGCTGTCATACTTGAGCGAGTCGTCCAGCGGCAGCAAATCTCGCAACAGTTCCTTGTTGCTCCGCTCCAAGCAGCACCTCCGGCAGTGGCACTCGAACCCCCAGTCCTCCACCAGCGCCTTCCTCCGCTCGGTGCTCCACGGAGCGTATGGATCCACGTACGAGATGAGCAGCTCGTCGCCGGCGTGCAAGTCCCTGGCCGCGTGAAACATGGTGGCCTTGCCAACCTCGAGCTTGGAAACGTTTGGAAGACACGAGTGATTGACGAACGCCGGCAGTCCCCACACCCGCGACTTGCTACACTCGGACTGTCCCAGCATCGTCCAAGGGAAGTAGGCCGCCTTGACGGCCCCCTGGATCCTGGCCACGTCCAGCGGCGGAGCTTCTTCCGGCGGCATTGCTCCTTCGTAGCCGAGGTTTGGCCGGAAGATCTTCATGCTCGGCACTGAGGCCGCATCGTCGATGGCGTAAAGTTGGTGGATGATCTTCTGCGACGAGCGGCACGCCTTGAGCGCCCCGACCAGCAGCTCCGACTCGGCGGCCCCGGCCTCCTCCTTGACACAGCTCGCGAAGCTGATGTTGTTGCTCACCAGCAGGAGCTCACCCAGCCGGACCTTCTTCGTCACAAACAGGCCCCGACCGCGACCGTCCCTCGTCAGCCGGACTTCCACGGGGCCGACGTAGTCACTGCATTTTGGAGCGTGCTCGGCGTTGCAGCCGCTCGAGACGTAGTCGCCAACGTCGTACACTCCCTTCTGGCTCTGCTGGAGGAACACCTTGCACTTGGCCAGCGCTTCCAGGATCTCCTTCTTGGCATCACCGTCGGACGAGTACTTCGCGGCCGACTTCAAGCTCACGCGGGCCTCGACGTGCTCCTGGATCGCCATGAGCGCTCGGCCCTTCCGGTAGAAGCTCTTGGCGTGGAAGGCGTCCATCCCGATGGCCCGGTTGGAGTCGGCGATGGCCTTCTCGTACATCCCCAGCTTGAGCCACGCCTCTGCCCGGTTGGAGATGGCCAGCACCGCCTCGAGCTTCATCTCCTCCCCGCCATCTTTCCTGCCGAGGCTGGCCGCGACGCAGTCACTGTAGTACTGGATCGCCACCAAGTAGCTCCCCTGCGCGAAGAGAGCGTTGCCTTCCTTGCGGAGCTCCTGGGGTGGCATGGCGACGAGCTTCTCGGGCGGCGAGGTGGCGACGCCGACGAAGTCCAAGTTCCCGGGGCTCTGGACGTAGAGAACTACCGGGGTGACGCTGGGGTGGAGGCAGCCGATGGAGGGACGCGTGATCACCACCTTGATCCCTTTCGGGAACATCTTGCGGAGCTCCTCCTGGCGGGAGGAAGGCTGGATGGCGTTGAAGACGTGGAGGATGCAAGTGGTTCCATCGTCGGCCTCGACGACGGTGAGCACGGAGATGCCGCGGCGGGTGGCGTCGACGCAGAGGCTGCCGAGGAGGAGGCGCTGCTCGTACCAGCGGTGGAGGAGCAGCTTGTTGTCCTGGAGGAGCTTCTGGTTGTTGCGGGCGCGGCGGTAGAGGTCCTGGACGATGTTCTTGAGGTGGACGGGCTTGAGCTGCGAGGCCGGGGTGGTGGGGGGGACGCCAAACAGGTGCTGGCTCGAGAGGCTGGCCAGCTTCTTGCAGCCCGAGCAGCGCCGCCGCTCGATGCATTTGAAGGTGCCGTTACACATGTCGTAGTAGTCGCGGAGAACGTCCTCTTTCTTCATCGACACCGCCGCCACCTTGCTCGCTCGATTCGATCTTCTTCTTTTGCTTTGCTTTCTTCTTCCGTGAAGATCTTTCCTTCTTCTCTACTTCCTCGCGATCTTCATTTGTCACTTCCTTGTTCTTCGAAGATGATCTTTCTTCCTTCTTCTTACTCGCTGAAGAGATCTTCGTTATTCTCAAGCGAAGTTCTCCTCCGCTACTAAGTACTGCCTTTCCTTCTTTGCTACTCTTCGTTTTCGTTCCTTTGCCACTTCGTTCTTTGCTTAGAAACTACTTCACTGGACTGGAAGCACTGTTGAAATCTCTCCAATCCACTGGAATACGGCCAGCACTCGTCGCGCAAAAGTATTTTTCCAGCAGCGATCTTGTCTGGCGGCACTGTAGCTCTGACTGACCTTGGGAGCGGGGACGAGTTTTGGCGGAGATTTGGCGAAGCCCGAGCAATGGTGGCGGCAAAATCTCTCTGGAGAGCTGTGGCGGCGAGCAGGGATCGAATGTAGGAAGGGAGCGAGAGACTTACGAAGAGAGCGATGAGAGCGCAGCGCCCCCAAAATTCCTTGGAGAAGAAAACCCTAGGAAGAGCTACCAGATCGCACGGTCGGGAGGGGGGACACGTGGCACGCCTAGATCAGGTTATACTACTACATAAAACTAGGACGCTTTTTTTTTATGTATTTATTTTACTTTACATCTCGTCTCGCAACTCGCAACGCCAAAAACTTTGTCAAAACCTCACCTTGGGAAAGAGAAGAGAGGAAGAAAAAAATAATCCACGAAGACAATGCCAACCTCGAGAAGATGAGAAGATGGGATGGAAAAAAAAAGAAGAGAGGACAAAAAGTCAGAAGAGATCCGCTGCTTTCTTGTATTGATCTTGCTTCCACTTTGGCAGTGCTCGGAACTGATCCACTTCCATGCCGAAAACGCTCTTGAATTCCTCGGGCGATAAGTAGCTCTGCTCGGTGACAAAGAGAGAAGTTAATCTCACTCAATCAAGATCAAGATCTCTTGCGTAGTTACCTCTCGTTTTGTCACGTCGATTCCAGGAGGATTGCTCGAGGATTTTACCTTGAGGATCTCATAGCTGAAAGGCCCAGTCGCCGCAGGAGGTGGTGGAGCGTCTGAGCTCTCGGAAGTTGTAGGAGTTGGATCCACCACTGGACAAGATTCGAAGGCGTTAGACAAAGGTTGGAAACAAAGAAAGTTTTGGTGTTACCAGGTTCTGGAGATGGCTCCTTGCTCTCGACCGGTGACTTTCTCGGCGTGAAAGATGGCCTGGGTGTGAGGGGCGATTGTCTTTGAGAGGACGCCATGGGAGATGACGAATCCGCGTCGAGTTTTGGTTCGTTGGCACCATTGGTAGCTGTTCGTTTCTTTGGAGGCGTCTGCACGAGGAGAGAAGTAAGCGACACAACGTAGAACAAAAAAACTGTGGCGTACATCGTGCCCTTGCGCTGGTCTGCCCTGTAGCGCCGCGAGTCGTCTCTCAAAGGGATCAACATAGGCCTGTGATTTGTTTTAGAACAAAACAACAAGAAGTAAAGAACAAGCTTACAGCTGATTTTGATGGATCCCAGGCGAAGTGTCTTGTAAAAAATGCTGGCTCGCTGCCCTCTAGAATTTTGAATATTGGGATGTCTTTGGAAAGACCATCAAGTCTATTGGCCCGCTCAACGTATTTCTACACACACACACACAAATATCAAAGATGTTTCCAGAAATTTCAGAACAAACCTCGGCAATTGCCAATCCCTGTTTCTTGTCCTTGGGACTAACGTTTTGACCAATCCAAACACTCAGTTCACACCGGGTATCAAGGATCATGATGTCGTCACTCAGGAGATCGTCTTGAGTGAAATTAAAAGTTTCTTCAAACTGTATGACACAAAGTTATACATGCTAGCTCCAAGTTCAAGAATGCGTACCAATAGATTGCCTGGCTTTCTTGTGTACTCAAACAAGCGTGGATCCTTATCGGAGTCAACAAGTTCTCTCTGGCTGGGATATACCTTCTTTCCTCCAAGAGCATTCCAAAATGTAGGAGGCTCAGAACCTTCTTTCAATGACTTGGGAGATGATTCACTCTATACATCATTTAGAATAAGCATTAAAGACGATATAAAAAAGATAGGAGTTACCTTCAATGACGTAGCAATTCGTGCGGCAACTTGTTGTTCCTCAAGGGTACTGAAACTTCCAAACCATAGCAAATAAGTCTTAGCAGACTGAAAAATGAAGCAGTCCGAGGAGTTTAACGAGGCAGAAACCTGCGTAGCATGACGGTGTCACCATCTGACAGTTTCTGGCAATTTCAAACACAGCTTACGGGCTCAACTTGGACGGCCAGACTGTTGTAAGGCTTTGTTCCACGTACTCGAAATAAAGCAAGACCTTCCTCTGTGTATGTTTCGTCTTCCGACGCACTCTCTGATACAAGTGTCTTGTATCCCGAGCTCTGACCACCCTGATAATAGGAAGGAATGCACCAGTTTTATCCATTCAAAAGATAGTAGTTGACGAAAAATTGTGATCGATACCTTGAAAATGACCAGGCTTGAAAATAACGCAAAAAACTGTGAAGGCTCCTTGCCTTCAAAAACACGGGCCTGCCACCAGGAGTTTGTCACAAGATTATGGAAAGAACTACTCACTTGTACTAGACGTCCTTTAAAAGAAGAGGAGATCTCTTCAACGTGAGAAAATGCTGAGCTTTGATCTTCCTGTAAAGAGCTTTGAAGAAACAAGTAAACAATTTTATAGGAGGCCATACCTCTGTACTTTGATTTCCAAGCCAGCAGCAAACAAAACACTCTGTTTCCTTTTGATCTCCTTGGTAAGTGTAACGCACAACAAAACAGTCACCAGAATAAAAATGCCCATGGGCTTCCGAAGGGACGGGAGTCTTTGTCTTTCCATCAACCCGCCACACCTAAAGCAAGACAAAGTTTTAAAAGTAATGTGCACGGTTTCAAGCACCTCTAATTTTCCTGAGGAGTTAAAAAGGGATGGTTCATCTTCCTTGACAGAAGCACCTTTCAGAAGTCCCTTGACATCCACGCCTTGCTGCTTGAGTAAAGCTGCGCAAGTCTTAATTCCATCAGTGAATATGACTCGATAATAATCTTACCCGCAACTTTTCCTCTGCCTTCTTCTGAAACCACAGGAGCACCTCCAGCCGTTGTCCATTCGCCAAAATAAGATTTAAACGGCAGAGTTTCAAAGCCTTCGATTACTCGTGTAATTCGTGTTGTTTCTGGCTTCTTAGCAATATATTCCTGCATAGACAAGCGCTTTAAAAAATTTATAAGAATGCCACAATGTCCTCCTTACCTCCGCTGCCTTGGACGCAGACTTTCTTTCGTCTAAAGAGGTGGCACGACCCGTCCAAACATATACTGTAGGTCCACCATCTAACAAGTAGCACTTGTCTGTTTCCAAAAGCTCTCTCGGCAGGGGACTAGCGCTGACTTCTTGCACGTTTCCATCCACGAGACTTCTAGTAAGAAGCGAACAAGCGAACGACGTTCAGAGTCAGTGGACGAAGGAATGACGGACTAGCAATTACCATATAAACAGCTTTCCACTGCCAGGATCTTCGTCTTCGTTCTCCTTGATCGAAGCTTTCTTGCCAATGGGTGCAAAACCTCCAAACAATCCCCAAAATTCGCCAGCATCCGCTTCAGCAGCCATTTTTCCATCCTCTGTCCCACGGCAAGTCTGAGATAAAAGATAGAAAAACACAGTACTCACCAACAATAGCAACTGCGCATTTGCCATCGTGATCATTGTCCTTGATAAACTGCACAACTTCCAGGGCCTTTGCTCGCTCTTGAATGCTTGAGTTGACGCCATTGAACTGATAAATCTTCACGTCTGTATCCAGGATGAACACATCGTCGTGATTGAGCGACGATCTCGAAAATGGCACCTGAGAAGAGGAGTATAAAGTTTTACGTCATAAAACAGCAGACACAAACCTCTTTTACTCGAACGACTCGCCTCCCTTTGCAACAAAACAACCGCGGCTCGATCTTTTCGACTTCCGGCTTTTTAAAGCCGGAAGCGCAGCCACCTTCGAGTGGAATAATACACGGCTTGAAATAAGTTAAAAACTTATCGCTTTCGGATCCTTGGACTTCCCTGTATTGAACAGCTCGTCCTCCCAAGGCTGCATCAAGCTCTACAGATTTTATGGCAGCAGTGCCAGCTTCATCCTGTGTGAAGAAGACAACATTATATAACTTCGATCCAAATTCACGCAACACAAATTTACCTGACTTGTTGCTTTGCCAAGCCAGAAATGTATATCATACCGGAGAGCTCCACTCTTCAATGCGGTAGTCTGGGAGAAGTAAGAAAGTAGAAATTAATCATCCATGAAAGGAAGTGCAAGAAAAGTTAGCACCGACTTTTAAGATGATATATGAATCACCAGTGTAAAACTTTCCATGATCAGACTTTGGCAGAGGGACAGGAACAAAATTTTCGATTCTCCAAATCTCCAGCCCGCTAGCAAACGAATTAGATTGATCAAGGTATCATCAAATACCAAAATAGAAGATGAGAAACCAAAGGATACGCTTTCTGTCCAATGCCCTGGAAGGCCGGATCAACGTTCTTCATGGAAACAGCCATCGCAATATCGATGCTGGATCCTCACAGCAGCATCTAGCGCCAGGAATGATCGAAATATCGCAGATCGAGCTCACAGAGATCTAGCTCGTTCCAAATATCCCAATCCTGCTGCCCCGAGGTTAAATCTGGAGATTTCTCGTACCTCTTCACCGGATTCGTGCGCGCTCGCAGCAGCGCCTCGATTTGCAGTGGCGCTCAAATGCCCGATCGATTCCTCCACGCCGATCCCTGGGATTGCGCAAGAAAACCAACAATGTATGCCTAATCTATCACTCGCAACAGTGCTAGGAGCTAAACCTTTCCAGCATGTCTTTAGCATGACAACTCAGAGCCGTCGGATCCACGAATCGGACGCTCCAGGTGGATCTGAGTTGGCATAGCGTACCACTGCCACGTGGGGCCCAGGATGCAGAACAACCTGGATCAAAGTAAAGACCATAGAACTCCAATAGATTTTCTTCTTTCTCAAAACAATCGCAAGATCGATCGCGAAGAAGCTCTCGGAAATTTCGGCCTAGATCTACACATCTTAGAAGTATACACGGGGATGTTTTATTTTTTCTTTCGATTCTCTCGTTTAAACGGATGCTCTGCAAGGCCTTCGATGGATCGTTATGCTACAAAGAAGACGAAGACCAAGAGGAATACCAGGAGCACGAAGAAGATCTTGACGATGAGCCAACGGTTGGAGGAGATGCCATTAAGGTACTTGAGAAGCTGGCCTTGCGCGGCATCCACATTCGATAGCGTATCATCCATGTTTTCATCGATCCTGCGAGAAAAAGAGAACTTTGGGTGAGTTCCATCTCCAAAGAAGCTCAACTTCCTGCGGGATCACGCGAAAGAGCGTTTGTTACCTGATCGCAACTTCGCCTTGCTCCGCAACCATCGTCGCCAACTGCGAGAAAATGTTTCCCAGCTCCGCAATGGTCGACTCCACGTTTCGCAGCGCCTCGGCTCGGCTGTGCAAGTAGTGATCTTGAGTAGGAACGAGCTGTTGCGTTTGAGTTTGAGACTGCGAGGAGGAGAGGCTGCTACTCGAGGCTTGAGACGTCGAGCTCTCAGCACCACCAGGCCGCCTCCTGAAAGACCACGAGAGAAAGATCGATCAGCGAAAACAAAGATAAATGAATCTCCAGACACCTTAGATGAGTTGCCTTTGGCATTCCATCAGTTACACCTCTGCATGCAATGCAAAGAAACATACTCTCCGTGTCTGTGTGGATAGAAAGCTTTTCTAATCAACTTTTCCTTCACAAACCTTGAATTGAAGAGCTCCCTCGTTGTGGCTCCGTTCACTGGAACTTGTTTGCCAAAGCGCCTTGTTCCTTTCTCGGCCGAGGTCGAGTAGATCTTCATACGTTCTTCGTGAACTTTGAGACTCTAGAGGCGCAGAAGGAAACCTTTAGTCACTCAAACTTGGATGGAGAGAGATCGAGAGAAAAATAAAAAGAGGGAGACATACCTCGCTTCGCAACGTCAAGACATCCTTGAATTCTTTGGTTGTGTCCATGAGCCTTGTTTTGAGGTTTCCTACGACGGTGGTGGAGTGATCGCTGCTATGCTTGTTTCGATTGATCTCGTTGCGAGCGTCGCAAACACGCTGGAGATCCTCGATCGCGCTGTTCAATGCCTGGATATCTTGCCTGATCACAGCAGTGAGCTCTTGGATCTCGACTGCTGGGTCGTCAAAAATGGACGTCTTCTTCGCCACTGCAAGGAGAAGAAAAGTTCTCACCAAGCTCGAAGAGATCGATCTAAAAGGCGCTAAAGCACGAAGAACTTACATTGGGTGAGCTTGTGGAGCTTGTTAGATGTTTGGTGGATGCTAAGCCCTATTTGCGAGGCCCGGCGATTAAACTCCGAGTGCAAGGATCCGCTGGATTGATGCTGCTGTAGCGGCCCTCCTGCTCTCGCCGATGATCCCTCCATGGAGCCATTCGCCGCGGAGAATGCCGGCGACCGTTTCAATCTCTCGGCAATCGCCTGGAATTCCGACGTTCTATCCCTACAAGACGACGCGCCGCTCACCGCCACTGGCATCTTTGCGCGCCTTTCCTCCCCCTAGAGCCCTAGAATCGGTTCATGCAGCTTGCGCGCCCTGCCTGTGCCTAGATCCAGCTCTCGCGCTCCCAGATCTCGAGCTCCCAGCCCAGCGCCTTCCAATCTAGGTCTAACCTCGCAATGAAATGGCATGGGCCGTTGGATTGGGCATCTAACGGACGAGAGAACGCGTCATACGTGGCGCCTTCTTCCACCTAAGATTAGGGTTCTTGGGCAATGGCGCGTTGTCGCGCAGCTCGGTCGGAGGCGCTGCCAAAGGAGTTTGGAGGGATGGAAGACCGAAAACGCGAGATTTCTCGTCTTCTCCAGGCATTGAAGGTGTGTAGCAAAGCCCGGGATCTGGAAGCTGGGCGAAAGATCCACGCACAAGCGATCCAGGGCGGCATTGCCCCGGATCCTTTCGTCGCGAGCAGCTTGATTCATATGTATTCCAGGTGTGGCAGCACGGAGGACGCATCGGCCGTGTTCTTCGATCTCACTCCACCGCAATGCCGCGACGTAGTTTCTTGGACGGCTCTCATGCTGGGATTCGTGGACAACGGCCAGGGCGAGCGTGCGATCGAGCTATTCGGTGAGATGATCCAGCAGCAATGCCGGCCAGACGCTCAAGCTTTCGTGGCAGCGATCAAAGCGTGCTCTAGCATCGCAGAGAAGGGAAATTACGGGAGGAACACTGATAGAGGGAAGCTGCCAGATCCTCTGGAGGTTGGAATGGCTCTCCATTCTCATGCCGCTAAGAATGGGCTCGTGAAGAACAACGTGTTCGTCGCCAACGCTCTGGTGGATATGTACGCGAGGTGTGGGAGCGTGGCGGATGCTAGCAGGACCTTTCACGGCATTGCTCGTCGCGATGTGGTGGCTTGGACGTCGTTGGTTCTGGGATTTGCCGAGAGAAAAGACGGTGGCCAGGAAGCTCTACAGATCTTTTCTCGGATGATCGAGTCTGGGGAGTGCGAGCCGGATGCTCGCAGCTTTGTTGCTGCGCTAAAGGCTGTGGCGAATCTAGCAGCACTAGAAGAGAACAAAGGTGGCGGGCAGGCTAGAAGCGAGGTGAATTTTCGGTGCCTGGAGAAAGCAATGGCGCTTCACTCCGAGGCCGCGAGGAGACGATGCCTGGATACATTCGTGGCCAACACGCTCATCGACGTCTACGCCAAGTGTGGGAGCTTGGGCTTGGCTCGCAGCGTTTTTGAGAGCTTGTCCCGGACGAGCTCTCAGAAACGCTGGGAGGCAGGGTCGAGCTCCAGGAGCTTGGTGTCCTGGAACGCGATGATCCTGGCCTACGCCGAGAACAACGAGCCCGAGATGGCTCTGCTGCTCTTCACTCACCTGGATCATCCTCCCGACGCTCCGACTTTCACCGCGGCTTTCAAGGCCTGCGGGGGGCTGGCGAGAAGAGAAGCTCCCAAGAGCTTGAGCGATGGTGGTGCTGTGAAAGTCGCGGCACTCGAGAAGACCATGGCCGTGCATGCTCGAGCGGCGAAAGAGCGGTGGGACTCGCACGCTTTCATAGCCAGCAGCGCCATCGCCGTGTACGCCGAGTGTGGAGATATGGTGGACGCTCGCTGGAGCTTCAAGAAGATGGCAGTGAAAACTCTGGCCGCGAAGACGGCTCTGCTACAAGGATACGCCGACAACGGGCAGGGAGAGGCTGCTCTCGAGCTCCTCTCGCGCGAGTTCAAGCCGGACGACGACTCGTGCTCTTGCGTCGCCGCTCTCAAGGCTTGCTCGAGCTTGGGAGCTCTACAGGCCGGGAAAGCCATCCACGGAGACATCTCCCGGCGTGGATTCGACTCCAACGCGGTGGTGGCAACTTCTCTGGTGGATTTCTACGGGAAGTGCGGGAGCATGGTGGATGCCCAGCTGGTTTTCGACTCCACGATCAGCGAGAACAAGGATTTCGCAACTTGGAGCTCTCTAGTAGCAGGCTACGGCAGGCAAGGTGACAGTGAGCGAGTCTATAGCTTGGTGGACAGGATCCAGGAAGAACAGGGACAGCATCCTTGCGAAGTTACGTTCTTGTGCGTTCTCAACGCTTGCAGCCACGCTGGTCACGTCGACAAAGGCAAGAGCTACTTCGCAGCAATGTCGTCCAAGTATGGGATCACTCCCGGAATTGAGCACTATCACTGCATGGTCGATCTGCTGGGAAGAGCAAACCGGCTAGACGAGGCTCTCGAGACAATAACAGCGATGCCTTGGAGAGCGGACGTGGTTACATGGACGACGCTGCTGGGAGCGTGCCGGAAATGGAAGAACTCGCGAGTCGGGAAGATAGCTTTCGAGGAACTTGTGCGCCTGGACGAGAAGAAAGCCGCGGCATATCTCCTCATGGCGGGCATCGCCGGGGAAGAGATGGAGCTCTCGAGAGGAAGTTCTTCGAGAGCTCAAAGCTGGTGGACGGACGAGGAGGGGGTGGTGCACAGATTCGTGGCCGGAGACTTTTATAGCCCAGGAAACTCGAGCTTCGTCAAGAAGCTCAAGGAGATCCCAGGAGCTCCTCCACTCTCGGACAAGCTTTGTGGACACAGCGAAAGGCTGGCTGCGGCGTGTGGAGTCGTGAGGAGCAGCGCTCATCCAGGTAGCGTGATTCGCATTGTAAAGACTCACGAGAATGTTTGCCGCGAGTGTCACAGGATCATCGCAGCTCTGTCACTGCTCGAAGCTCGAGTGATCGAGTGCGTAGATCCCGCTGGCTTTCACGCCTTTGATAATGGAAGAAGCACTTTCCATCGCCAAACTCGCCGATCACCACGAGCACTCGCTTACAGCGATCTAAAAGCAGTGCGCTTTTCTCGAGTGAGAGGCATTTAAGGAGAAAGAAAACCATCGCTCATCTTTCATTGGTTCTCCATTTTTCCCGATCAACGAGCGTGCTCTGGACAAAATCTTTCCTTTTCTTCTTTTTCTTCCTCCTGTCGAGCTCTGCTACCCCCAAAGAAAAAAAATTCCTATTCTCCTCCCTTCTCCACCGCCATTTCTTCATAATCCCAGACCAACACTTCTTTTTCTTCTCCTTTCACCTTGAGAAATCTTCTTCCCATTCCATGCTTACTGTTATTCCTTCCTGTCTTTAAAATCACCGAGGGGCTAGTCCCAAGCCAAGCCACCATCTCTGTCCACCACCAATCCGATCACCCTCTACTCCAATCCCTGTGTCGTCAGCCGGAGTAGAGGAAAAAAAAATGTACAGACTAATAGAAAAGCTCCCAAACTTCCAAGTGCCACCGCTTCTTCTGAGCCTGTTCTAGTTTTCCTCCTCTTTTTTCCCTGTTCTTTCACCCGTGTCCCTGTCTCTGTTCCATTAGTTTTTTTTTTTTTTTTCCTTGCCTGTCTTTCCTGCTGTGCCTCTTCTTCGTCTTGATCGTCTCTACAAATGGTTGTGGACGATGAAACCTGGTGGTGCTCCGGAGAGCCTGCTCGCTCCAACTTCTAAGCTCTTGCCATTCCCGGCCATGGTGCAGCTGGAACGCAGCACCGGACTGTCAGTCTTCTCGACAAACTTTACAAAGGAGTAATCGAGGACGTCTGCTGCCGCCGAGGAGCCCAGATCCTGGACTGACCCCGCGCTTGCTCGCCTCACATGTTTCGTTGTTGTTGTTGTTGTTGTTGTCGTCGTCTCTACATTATTTCCTGCTGCCGAAGAAGCTAAAGCCAGCTGCTGCCTAAGTCGTTGCTGCTGCTGCTTCAAGAATCTCAACCTCTGGATCTCTTTCTTCAGGGCCTCGTTGTGAGCTGTAAAGCGAAAAAAGAAAAAGAGTGAAAGTTAAACAACGACAGGCCAGAAAATATAGGAAAGGAGATTTTGCAAAGTGGTGGCTGCTTTACCATCTTTAATCCGGGCATCCTGAGCCAGACCAGCAACGTTCTGCTTGAGGGCTGCGTTGTCCAAGTGAAGCGCCAGGCGCTGGTGCTCGAGCAGTGCCACTTGTGTCGACAGCCCAGACACCTCATTCTGGAGAAAAGAAAAGCAAAACATTAAACGAATGATTGATTACAAGTGCTTCAGCACAAAGCTGCACACAGCGGTACCTGTAAGTCACTGACGTTACCCTCCAGCTCATGAATGTATTGAAGTTTTCGCACTCTGGAGCGCTGGGCTGATTGCCTGTCCCGCAGAAAAGAAAAACAGAAACAACAACCATTAGAATGATAGCCAGAAAAATCCTAGAAACCAACCAGAGAGAAAAGAAAACCACACAGATAAATCTTAGAAAGCAAGCACATATAAAATCGAGAAGCAAACACAACCATAGTAGCTAGCAAAACGAGAAACAAAGAGAAGGAACAGAGTTATTACCACCTTAAAGCCAACGATAAAAACCAAACACAAAGGTAAAATGAGAAAAACGAGAAGGAAAAAAACAATCAGACAAAACGAAATGAGCTAGTGTCCTGAAAAATACGAACAAAGAGAAGAGAAAGCCACAGTTAGTATGACACAGGTCCTAGAGGAGGAACAGACCACCACCGAAGTGCCCAGCCTACCAGCAAAAGGAAGCCAAAAAAAAAAAAAGCTATCTAAACAATATCTTACCTCTTGGAGCGCTTGGAATCAGCGCTCTGATCGCCCTGGAGCTGTGACTGCTCGTTGTCATGCTGCTGCTCGGCGTCATTCCCCATCCTTGATCCACCAACGTAGCTCAAATCTCCAGGAAAAGTCCGGAAGGGATGAGGAGCTCTTCGATCTTGCTGAGACCATCCTCCATCGGATATCTGGACGACGTCGCTAAACATGGCCGCGAGCTGCTGTTCTTCCCGATCGAAGTAGCACTCGTCCTCCTCGGCAATGTCATCGATCTTTCGGAGGTTGGATGGAGCCTCCAAGAAGGTGATGCTGTCGCTGGCGGATCGCCTGTGAGACGCGCGCGACGGCCTCTCGGGCGCCTTGGGCGAATCGAGCAGCTCCTCGAGCCAAGAGGGCTCCACGTCCGGGACAAAGCTCGCGGATGGGCTCCGGCGATGGTGATGCGCCACAGCCGCGGCGCCATAGCCAGGAACTCTAACCACGCATCCAGGGTAGGGCGGCCCAACGCACGGCTGGGACGACGAAGTAGAGGATGGAATCGCTGGACTCTTCGGCGGGAGGTGATTGAGCGCCATGGAATGCCCCCAGTTTACACACCTTGAGGAGGATTTGTCGCTTCGCCCGAGCTGCGAGCTCGACATTCTTCGCTGCGATGGAGTGGATTGATCGATCCCTGGACGATAAAAGAAGGAAAAAGCATGCAATCCCGGGAATCGCCGAGCTCCACCGAGCAAGATCTAGGGTCCACAATCCAGATCTAGAGCTGTGGATCCCTCCTTGGCGCTAACCCTAGAAATTTCTCCAGTGAGGCCGCAGCCATCGTCTACTCCCTCTCTCTCTCTCTTCTCTTGTTCTTTAATGTGTAATTTCAAGTATAAAGGACGTCACGGGGTAAATTCCGCGATGGATGGTTGCGATTCGTAGTTTTCGAAAGAACGGTCAGGATTTGGTGAAACCCACGAGATGATGACTGGCTGGGATGAAATGCCTGGCAGCAGACGGCTAAGATCTGATGTAAATTTCCTGTCAACAGCTGGATCCTAGACGATGTATGTGGCGGAGTTTACATTAATCCAGTTGTTAAGTGGCAATGATAATGATGAATTTGTCCGTGATACAAACATACCATGTGAATGTGGGTAGATCATGCTGATTAAAAATTAAGTGTACATACTATTTGATTTTAGGGCAAAGTTCCAGCTAGGGTTTTGGGCTCATGGAAGAGAATGCGAGGCGGTGGAGGGGAAATTTGCGCGCGATGAAAGAGCGAGTGAGGGATCGCCTCTGCGCAGCGCAAGCACACAGTTCTCTCAGGCAATCGCAGCAAAGATCCGGTGTGGTGCGTGGAGCAGCGCTTGGCAGGGCCAGGACGGGGTTCGTAGTCGCCAGGGTATTCAAGGGAAACGTCGTGTTTGCGCGGGTTGCCAAGAATCTGCGGCAGCGACAGCGGGCGTGGAGGAAAATCTCGATCGCCGATCGCATTCCAAGCTTCCGGAATCTCATCGCTGGAGCTTTCGGTGGAGCGATTCTTGTCGGTGGCTCCTCCGCTCACGCCGAAGCGCATGAAGCTCCACAGGGGTTCTTGGAAGAGCTGGCCACCAGAAGAAAATTCTTCAAAGGTGAGTGGAAACTTTCTCTACACAGTCCTTAACTTTTGGACAGGCCGGGGCGCTGCAACTATCGACGATGATCTAAAGAAGAAAATTTCCGAGGACTCTCCAACCGTCCGTGTTCTTCGTGCCATAGCTGTTCCAGTTCTCGCAAATGTTTGCCATGTTTTCATGCATGGACTTAACCACACTGAGGTTTGTGGCTCGTCTCTTCTCTCGATTTTTTTCTGCCACTTACTTCTAGCAAACAGGTCTATGGCTTGGAGAAGCTTGAGAAAGCACTTCTACATCGCCCCCAAAGCACGGGTCTACTAACGGTGAGCTTCTCTTTTCATTTCTCTTCTGTTCTCTGGTATGATGTTCTAACGCAGTTTTTACTTTCGTGTAGCTGAGCAATCACGTTGCCGCAATGGATGATCCTTTGGTCACAGCTTCTTTACTATCGCCTCAGATTCTGCTTCATGAAAGGATGCTAAGATGGACGTTGTGCGCTACTGACCGATGTTTCACGTCCGTGCCCAAGTCTATCTTCTTTACGTCTTTGAAGGTGCTGCCAGTTTCTCGCGGCAAAGGCATTTACCAGGAGGTATACTTTTTTCTTGTCTCTGCAACCTTTGGAAAGTCCACTGACGCGTAGTAAATTTTCTTACAGGGCATGGACCTTGCGCTGGAGAAACTCAACCACGGAGATTGGGTACACATTTTCCCCGAAGGCAGTCGATCTCGAGATGGTGGGAAAACCTTGGGAAATGTGAAACGAGGGGTTGGGAGGTGATCTTGTGTGAGCTTTTTCTTACTTGCTGCGAGCTATCTAATGCCCCTTGTTTTGTGTGATGAAGGCTAGTCATGGATGCGAAGGAGACGCCTGTGATCATCCCTTTCATGCACGAAGGCATGCAAGAAGTTTTGCCGATTGGTAGCAAGTTCCCGCACATCTGCAAGAAGGTATTTGTCTCGTCTCGTGTTCGTGTTCCTTCACAGAGCTTTCTTTGCAGGTGACTGTTCTTGTGGGAGATCCAATTCTCGTGGACGATTTGCTTGCCAGATGCAAGGACCAAGAACTCACAACCGATGCTCTCTACGACGCCGTCGCGCAGCGCGTGGAAGAGAGAATGCGGGGGATGAAAGGCGAGCTACAGCAGCTGGTGGCGAACGAGAGACTAGCCCGCGAGAGAGATCGCAAGCTCTATCTGGCTCGGCGAGCGAGCGGGATCTGGGAGCACGTCGATTGGGAAATGGAAGGCTTTTCACTCCACAGCGACGACGAGACGATCGATCACTCCCATCAGCAGCAGCAGCGCGAATTCTCCGAGATCTCTTCCGGCGACGCAGCAAAAACGAGCTGGATGGATCATCCAATCCATTCCAGCGATCGCGCGCTGGATTCTTCGCCAAGCATCGCGGCGAGATTGAGAGCTTTCGGCGATCCAGCAGCGATGGTTAGCTTCGCGGCACGCGGCATCGCCTGGAACTGGAAGACGCGCGAGTTCAAATATGGTGTCGGCACGTGGACGGCCAGATTGTGTGGAAATCAAGGGCTGGGATTGTAGAGGTTCTCGGGCTTGGGTTTGTGGCGTAGGGTTTGAGCGTTTGTGTTTTATAGCGAGCGAGCTGGTTTGGCGTCGCCAAGGGTTCTAGGCGCTCATATCTCTTCACCGGTTTGCCACACACAGCCGCAAAGGTACGCGCCTCCAATCCACCGATTTGCGGCGTGCTAGGGCGCCGCCGCGAGGCATTTCTGGAGATTTCTCACTCATTTGCCGCGGGATTTTGCCAGATGAATCGAGAGAAGCTGATGAAGATGGCTAGTGCTGTGCGCACCGGTGGAAAGGGCACAGTGAGGAGGTATTTCGGCGGCATTGGTGATTTCGTTGTTTGAGCTGATGGATTTTTGTTTTCTGGCGCAGGAAGAAAAAGGCTGTACATAAGACGACGACGACCGACGATAAGCGTCTCCAGAACACGCTCAAGAGGCTGGGCGTGAACACCATTCCCGGAATCGAGGAAGTTAACATCTTCAAGGACGACATTGTTCTTCACTTTGTCAGTCCCAAAGGTTTGGAACCATTTTTTTTCCTCCATTTTCTTCCAGGCTTTTTTTTTTCTTAGATCCGATCGACCAACCTTTTTTTTCTTCATTACTTCTTTTCACCTTGTTAAATTCTTCCAATTCTCCATTCCCATCGATTAAGTTCTTCCAGTGTTCTCTTTTCCATTCTTGTTAGTCGAACAAGTTCTTCCAATGTTTACTGACGCTCTCATGTTTTACAGTCCAAGCCTCGATAGCTGCTAACACTTGGGTCGTGAGCGGACCCGTCCAGACAAAGAGTAAGCTCCAGAGAAAGTATCAAAGTGTTTAGCTAATCCTTTTTTCGATCGATCGCCAGAGCTCACGGAACTGCTGCCTGGTATCATCAACCAGCTCGGTAAGTTTTGGCCATTGTTCTCGCTTGGATTTGTATTGATGTTTTGCGATCGAATCAATCCAATCGACTGCAGGTTTCTCGGGGCCGGATAACTTGGAGAACTTGAAGAAGATCGCGCAACAATTCAAGCGGCAAGAGAGTGGCGGCGGCGGAGCTCCGCTTGGCACCATCGAGGACGACGAGGATGTTCCCGACCTTGTTCCTGGCGAAACTTTCGAAAAGCCTGCCGCCAATCCTCCCGAAGAGGTTGTGGCAACCGCGTGATACTAGCAGAGAATATTCTTGCTATGTACTTGTAGCCCCTAGGGCATATTCTCCTTTTTTTCTATTTTCCTATCACGCGTCACATATTATTTTTAGGATTTATTAATCTAGCCTATCCGGTCGCACACGTGGCGCGAATCCGAGAGCTTTCTTTTTTTTGAGAACCCTAGCTCCAGGGCGAGGACTTTTGGAGGAGAGGTCCGAGCGAAAGCGATGGCGGCGATTTTCAACAAGCTCTCTACGATTTTCAGCAGTGATGATACGCTGCCCTGGACAGATCGCGAGATGATCAGTGTAAGCTTCGATTTTCGGGAGAATTTGATGGATGCTTTGGAGCAGAGATGCGAGAGCGAGGTCGCCAAGGAAGGAGCTGGAATTACGCCGGAAAAGGATCGCAACGAGAGCCTGATGCGCCTCGCCTGGGCGCTCGTCCACTCGAGAGAGCCGTCTAATGTTCTTCGAGGCATTGCGATGCTGGAAGGTCTGTGATGTTCTTTGTGGATTTCTAGCAAGAATTTAGCTCGAGAGAATTTACAAACAGCTGCGTTTGATAAGAAGGCTGGACCGCTCCAAACGCGAGAGATTCTCTACTTACTGGCTGTTGGCCACTACAGGAATGGTGACTACGTCAAGAGCCGGCGATTGGTCGAGCAAGCTCTCGAGGTAAACTTTCTCGTTCTCCTTGCAAGTTGTTTAAATCCTTTTCATTCCTCGTCTCTCTCTCACAATTGAAAGCTGTGTTTCTTCACAGATTGCTCCCGATTTTCGCCAAGCTTTGATGTTGAGGTCTCTGATCGAAGACAAGATCGCAAAAGGTTAGAGCTTGTACTGGCTTTTCAAAGTGAGAAGTTAATTCTTGGTATGTTTCTCAGATGGAATTATCGGGGTGGGAATTGCGGCAGCGGCCGTGGGACTGGTTGCGAGCGGGGTGGCTTGTGTAGTGGCCGCCAGGAAGCGATAACTTCGGACAAGGCCCCGTTATAATTGTGGTAACGTTTTTTGTGTAAAGTGTATGCATACCAGATCCAATTCTATTTTACTTGAAGCACGGAGTGTCTTAGACGTCTTTGAATTCTATTCTAAGAGCCTGTTGTGATTTCTCCGAGCGGGAGGACGCATCAAACCTAGCGGCAGTCTGAAAGTGGTGAGAGCAGAATCTTTTTAAAAACTTACAATAAAAAAGAATGTGAAATAAAATTATATTTATAATTTTAATATTTTTAGTTTTTAAATGTTTTGAATGTGTATCTTAAAGAAAATACATTTTTTATGGCTAAAATGTGACAATTGAATATAAATAGCAATTATCCAAGGGTCTTGATTATTAAAAATTTGATAATAATAACAATTTTAAAACTTTAAAATAAAAATTATATTCTTTTAATGAAGAGAGTATTATAAGTTTAAATCTTAGTAATTCAACACTTTACATTCAAAGTTAAAATAAAATATATTGTAAGTTGAAATGCATATTAAATAAAAGCTTTTGGTATTTGCAAATAAATTTTTTTATGTGGAAAACAAAAAAGTCATAAATTTCAATTTATAATCTTTTATTACCCAATTTACACTAACTTTCTTGAACATTTACTAAATTTTATATTAAGTATTTATCTTTTAAAAAGCTATTATTATTATTATTATTTATAAATCTTAAACAATGAGTGAAATTTTATTAGGATTTACTCTACTGGGAGTTGTTACCTCTCTATGACATGCAAAATTAGCCTCAAAATGTAATTTAAACAAATTTCACTATGAACCAAAAAGAACTGAAGTGTAGAATGGTTTACACTAACACAAATAATAGTAATTTTGAAAATATTAAATTTAAATAAAACATTTAATAAAAATCAATTTTTTAAAATTTAAAAACATTATTTAAGAAATGAAAACTTTTAAAAGTATATATTTATTTGAGCATTGGAACTTGTTAAATGTACAAGAAAGTTGTAAGACTCCAAACAAATCATTGTCAAGTCATGTGAAGAAGAAAAATATATCATATATTGCAAATGGCAAAAAGAAAAAGTAATATTCACCCAATTAATACAGTAAAAAATGGATGTCACAATAATGCTTATTTCACCTTGAACACATTGAAACACTGAAGCTCATGTTCTTGAAGGATTGGAAGATAAAGGCTCCCTCAAATGGTGTCCAAGTATAAGATCAATCCATTGGTTGAACATTGGGTGCCACATGAATAAGGTGGAAGAAGCGATGTCAAGGAGGGTGGAGGAAGTGGAGCAAGGCAAGCTCCATCGCTGTTCTTGGCGCATTAAAATCTGAATTTAAAAATGGAAGTTTTATGTTTTAACATGTTACAGAAATTTCTATTATTCTTTGGTTGTATTCTTACTGTTGTAAATAGAACACATGTCTTATATCATGTCAAGATTATAGTAGCTCGGGTACCACGAGCTCATGTTGTTCCAGTTGACACCACGAGATCTTCTGAATGGATTGGCCACACGACTCCAATCTCTGGATGCCAGCTTGAAACAAAACACGTCGTTGCAAGCGCTCAAATCGCCACTGGTGGAAACAAAAGCCACCAAAACAACGTTACCCATCCCAAAAGCAAACCAGCTGCAGCCACCACCCTGCGCCATCAGCCCATGCACGTACTTGTCCGGCAATCTCGATACATCCTCCCAGTTCTCGTTGCTCTTGCAAGCGCAGAAAGGCTGCTCCAGATCCACGCGCCCCTGGGACATCCTTGTAGCACGGCAAGCGGGACAAGTTCCCATCTTAGTTCTTTTCTTGTTGGGAGTGTAGAGCCAGATCCTCACGCACCCTTCAAAGTGCAAACGCTTCTCCATGGAAACACACGCGAGAACGTCGTGCTCGAGCTGGAAGAAGCGGTACTTGACGCTCCCGGTGCTGGGAGGGAGATGAAAGCTGCGTCCTTTGACGGGCCTGGGGACACCAATTGCTCTTGGCAGAATGTGAGCTTCCAAAACGTCCAGCGCTTGCAGCGAGCAAGTGTCAAGAACGTGAGAGTACATCAGGCGTGTGGAGCACTCGAGCCTGATGCCCGAGTCGTGGTTGAATCGATCGCCCAGGTAGCACATCCCCGTCCACTCTTGCGCCGGGGGAGCGTCGTCCACTGCCTCGAGCTTGAGGCTCGAGTTTAGCTTGCACAGCCTGTGGGACATAGGCGTTGCAATAACGAGAAACTCGGCGTCCAGTGATGGAGGCTCGATCTCTTTGGTGAAGCCAGTCACCGGATTCCAAGCGGATATAGTGTTGTCTGTCCGCTCCTTGAAGAAGAGGATTCCACCCGCGGCTCCACACAGATTACCTTTGATCTGGGACGGATATGGCAGCTTGTAGTTGACAAAGCGATCCCTCTCCATGTCCCAGACCTCCAAGACTCTGCCATCTTCGTACACCAGACCGTACCTCAGCCTGCTCAAGATCTCCACAATGTCATGCGGTTCTGGGACGTCCTGGCTTTGTAAGGAGCGTACCTCCGTGTGGGCTTTTTTTCTTCCTTTGCCATATACAAAAACCAACCTTAGGGTTCAATGGATATATTTCATCCACTATATTGAAATTTCCATTCGGCACATGAGAGTGACTAGGGTTTTCACCAAGATGGCTATAGCTGCAGAACTAAATTTTTTGTAGGTTATGGTCTTGGCTTGTCACCATTCTGGGCTCATGAGCTTACATTCCAGAACTTAGTATGGTCTTCTTTCGATTTAACTAGTTCGAGGAGATTTATGATTTGTCTAATGGCACTATAGATTGAAGATATGAGTTTTTAACATTATACAAGAATGGCTTGTAATTTAAAATTAAACAAAGACAATGGATTTAAATATATAATACTAATTTACTACGCATTGCATGTAGCAATGTTTGGTTTACTTAATAGTAGTGTTATTCCTACTTATTAATCCAATTGATAAAATAAAAGGCATAATTATAAATATGTTTATAATTTATAAACACAAGATTAATCTTACATGTTTGCTTAATAAAACCAAAAATTAAGTTTTATAAACAGAAAAAAATAAAATCTATTTTTATCCCAGCCCCATATCAGTAAAAAGCAATTCTTATTTTGGAAAGAAAAGCGAAAGTCACTATGATGCATACACTACTTGGTTCATTCTAAGAAGCTTCTCTCTTTTTGAAATCAGCC